AAGAGGGAAGTGCTCATGCCATTGTACAGAACACTGGTGAGACCTCACTTGGAGTATTGTACGCAGTACTTGAGACGGTATCTTCAGAAGGATATTGATAGCTTAGAGAGAGTTCAGTGTAGGGCTACTAAACTGGTTCATGGATTGCGGGATAAAACTTACCAGGAAAGGTTAAAGGATCTTAGCATGTATAGCTTGGAGGAAAGACGAGACAGGGGGGATATGATAGAAACATTTAAATACATAAAGAGAATCACAGTAAAGGAGGAGACTATATTTAAAAGAAGAAAAACTACCACAACCAGAGGACATAGTCTTAAATTAGAGGGACAAAGGTTTAAAAATAATATCAGGAAGTATTACTTTACTGAGAAGGTAGTGGATGCATGGAATAGCCTTCCAGCTAAAGTGGTAGAGGTTAACACAGTAAAGGAGTTTAAGCATGCGTGGGATAGGCATAAGGCTATCCTAACTATAAGATAAGACTAGGGACTAATGAAAGTATTTAGAAAATTGGGCAGACTAGATGGGCCGAATGGTTCTTATCTGCCGTCACATTCTATGTTTCTATGTTTCTATGTTTCAGAAGCTCAATTTCACATACGTGTTTGTGTTTCATTTTTTATATATTTTTTATTCAATAAATATTATTGATGTAATGGTTTGTTTAAGACTTCTTATCCTTTGGGAATGCTGAATTTATTAGTGTCACTTTTCATCTTATATACCTCCACATTCTTGTTTGTTGGTATTCAGTGGTGATACCATATATACCCTGCTTTATTACATTTCTGACATATTAGCAGTGTTATTCAGTTTTTACTTTTAGATACTATTGAAGTTACAGATCAATACTTTCAGATGATTCACTGGTTAGATCTTTTGTATCTTTTTCACTGCTGGATTATACATGTTTGAGTTTCTTTGGAGCGCTCACCCACACATATATTTGATTTATTTTAATAATTAGAACCGCTCGTTTTTGTGTTGTGAAGCAGCCTGTTCATTGTTTATATAATAACTGATTATTGATTTTATATTAATTTTGCTACCTTTTATTTACCTATTTGATTACTTTTTATCCAAGTAATTTTAAAACTAAAATACCCCCAAACAAATTGATTGATAAAGGGTTTTTTTACTTGTGGAAAATGTAAGGGATGTCATTTTTTACTCAGAAAAACAAAATCTTTTTCTAGTACTCAGACGGGAGAATCTTTTAAAATGTTAGATTTTATAACATGTACAACTACACATGTAATTTATCTCTTAACCTATAATTGCGGAGCTCAATACGTAGGTTGAACTGGGAAAAAATTTAAATTAGATTAATGGAACATTAGAACAACATTAAAAAGAATGAAGACCAATCATTCATTATATTATATATATATATATATATATATATATATATATATATATATATATATATATATATATGTATTAAGGCAGTTTTGCCTGTATTTGTGGGAGGGACTTAAATTAATTCACTCCCCTATATAAGGGACACCCCTTACCTGACTCATATCGCTTGAGGTCAGCATCAGAATGATTTCCACTTCTGGGTCATCCAGACGCCATTTTACCTGATTACTCCATGAGGTTTTCTAAGCAGAGCTGTGTCAGGAATCCAGCCACAGGCTTTTCCGGCCTACCACCTTCTTTCTTCAATCCATCGCCATGGATGGTGTCCAAGTGACTCACAAACAGTAAGTCGACCTACCCGCTACGCCAGGCATCAGTCCCACGGCACCATGCACGGGTCAGGTCCTCACTTTACGGCTGCATTTTGTCTAAGTCTGTTCTAAAACCATTGCATGTTCATGCATATCATTCGTTTAAACCCCCTACCGGTCTTTGGGTGTACTACAGGCTTCTTAGACATTATTGCATTTCATGTACAAACCAACGAACCACTGCATTTTCGCCTACACACTGACCCCTACTGGTCTTTGGGTGTACTACAGGCTTCGTAGACATTATTGCATTTCATGTACAAACCAACGAACCACTGCATTTTCGCCTACACACTGACCCCTACCGGTCATTCGGTGTACTACCGGCTTCTCAGACATTATTGCATTTCATGTAAAAACCAACCAAACACCGCATTTTAGAATGTGACGGCAGATAAGAACCATTCGGCCCATCTAGTCTGCCCAATTTTCTAAAAACTTTCATTAGTCCCTAGCCTTATCTTATAGTTAGGATAGCCTTATGCCTATCCCATGCATGCTTAAACTCCTTTACTGTGTTAACCTCTACTACTTCAGCTGGAAGGCTATTCCATGCATCCACTACCCTCTCAGTAAAGTAATACTTCCTGATATTATTTTTAAACCTTTGTCCCTCTAATTTAAGACTATGTCCTCTTGTTGTGGTAGTTTTTTCTTCTTTTAAATATAGTCTCCTCCTTTACTGTGTTGATTCCCTTTATATATTTAAATGTTTCTATCATATCCCCCCTGTCTCGTCTTTCCTCCAAGCTATACATGTTAAGATCCTTTTAACCTTTCCTGGTAAGTTTTATCCCGCAATCCATGAACCAGTTCAGTAGCCCTTCTCTGAACCCTCTCTAAGGTATCAATATCCTTCTGAAGATACGGTCTCCAGTACTGTGTACAATACTCAAGTGAGGTCTCACCAGTGTTCTGTACAATGGCATGAGCACTTCCCTCTTTCTACTGCTAATACCTCTCCCTATACAACCAAGCATTCTGCTAGCATTTCCTGCTGCCCTATTACATTGTCTGCCTACCTTTAAGTCATCAGAAATAATCACCCCTAAATCCCTTTCCTCATATGTTGAGGTTAGAACTCTATCAAATATTCTGTACTCTGCCCTTGGGTTTTTACGTCCAAGATGCATTATCTTGCACTTATCCACATTAAATGTCAGTTGCCACAATTCTGACCATTTTTCTAGTTTACCTAAATAATTTCTCATTTGGCTTATCCCTCCTGGAACATCAACCCTGTTACATATCTTAGTATCATCAGCAAAAAGACATACCTTACCATCAAGACCTTCTGCAATATCACTAATAAAAATATTAAAGAGAATGGGTCCAAGTACAGATCCCTGAGGTACCCCACTGTTGACAAGTCCAAGCTTCAATATATTCCATTAACTACAACCCTCTGTTGCCTGTCACTCAGCCACTGCCTTACCCATTCAACAATATTGGAATCCAAACTTAAAAGATTGCAGTTTATTGATAAGCCTTCTATGTGCAACAGTGTCAAAAGCCTTACTGAAATCTAGGTAAGCAATGTCTACTGCACCACCCTGATCTATTGTTTTAGTTACCCAATCAAAAAAATCAATAAGATTAGTTTGGCATGATCTCCCTGAAGTAAACCCATGTTGTCTCTGATCTTGAAATCCATGTGCTTTTAGATGTTCAACAATCCTATCCTTTAACATGGTTTCCATCACTTTCCCCACTACTGAAGTAAGGCTTACTGGCCTATAGTTGCCCGACTCCTCCCTATTACCTTTCTTGTAAATGGGCACAACATTCGCTAACTTCCAATCTTCTGGGACTACTCCTGTTAACAATGATTGGTTAAATAAATCTGTTAATGGTTTTGCTAGTACACCACTAAGCTCTTTTAATAGCTTTGGGTGTATTCCATCAGGTCCCATTGACTTATTTGTCTTTACTTTTGACAGTTGAAATAGAACCTCTTCCTCTGTAAACTCACGTGTAATAAATGACTCATTTATCCTTTTTCTCAACTGAGGTCCCTTTCCTTCATTTTCATCTGTAAATACAGAACAAAAATATTCATTGAGGCAGTCAGCTAGACCTTTATCCTCTTCTACATACCTTCCTTCTTTTGTTTTTAATCTAACTAATCCTTGTTTTACTTTTCTTTTCTCATTTATGTATCTAAAAATGTTTTATCCCCCTTTTTTACTGACTGTGCTATTTTCTCTTCTGTGTGTGATTTGGAAGCTCTTATAACTTGCTTAGCCTCTTTCTGCCTAATCTTATAGATCATTTTGTCTCCCTCACTCTGGGTTTTTTTATAATTCCTAAATGCTAACTTTTTGTTTTTAACTATTTTGGCCACATCTGCGGAGTACCACAGTGGTTTCTTGAATTTTTTGCTTTTACTGACAAGCCTAATGCAATTTTCTGTTGCCTTCAATAGTGCAACTTTTAAATAATCCCATTTTTCTTGGACTCCATTTAAATTGCTCCAGTCTGATAATGACTCCTCTACACATATTCTAATTTTAGAAAAGTCTGTTTTTCTAAAGTCTAAAACTTTTGTTTTTGTGTGGTGTGGCTCAGTCACTGTTCTTATATTAAACCACAGTGACTGATGATCACTGGATCCTAAACTCTCACCTACAGTAATATCTGATACCAAATCTCCATTTGTTAACACTAAATCTAGTATGGCCTCTTTACGAGTTGGCTCCTCAACAACTTGTTTTAGAGACAATCCCAGTAGGGAGTTTAGAATATGTGTGCTCCTGGCACAAGTAGCTAATTTTGTTTTCCAATTTACATCAGGAAGATTAAAGTCACCCATGATGATAACTTCCCCCTTCATTGTCATTTTAGCTATTTCCTCAACTAGTAGATTATCTAACTCTTCAATTTGTCCTGGGGGCCTATAAATCACACCTACACGAGTTACTGTGTGATTACCAAATTCTAACGTAGCCCAAACGGACTCTATGTTTGCCTCACTAACTTTTATTAGGCTAGATTTTATGCTATCCTTCACATACAAGGCCACCCCTCCCCCTTTCTTGCCTTCCCTATCTTTCCTATATAAAGAGTACCCTGGTATTGCTATGTCCCAGTCATTTTTCTCATTGTACCATGTCTCAGTAACAGCGACTAAATCTACACTATCAGTTGCCATTATTGCCACAAGTTCATGGATCTTATTCCCTAAACTGCGAGCATTTGTAGACATGACTCTAAGCTTATCATTTTTAACACACTTGCTACAGGCACCTTCTGTCCTTGTTTTGGGGGACAATTGGATTGATGTTTTATCACCCTTTTGCCCCCCCCTCCTAGTTTAAATACATCCTAGCAAAACCTCTGAACTGCTCACTGAGAACATTTGTTCCCTTTTGAGAAAGATGCAAACCATCTTTTTTTGTACAGCTTATCTCCATTCCAAACAGAGCTACCATGAGAAATAAAGCCAAATCCTTGCTCCCGACACCATTCACCAAGCCACAAATTAAAGTCCCTAATACGCATCCGCCTGTCGTTCTGAGTGTTATGCACAGGCAGAACTTCAGAGAATGACAGTGTGGAAGCAACCTGCCGTATATCATTGGCAAAAACACTAAAAACTTCCTTAACCCCTGAAACCTCATTGCAAACAAAGTCATTTGTCCCTAGATGGACAAGTACATCCAATTCCCCTTCCTGCTTTGCTTGCTTAACAATATTACAGATACGTCTCCTGTCTCTGTGAGCAGTAGCTCCGGGAAGACACCTCACAAGACCACCATTGTCCATCTCCACGCCTCTTATAATGGAATCACCCAACAACAACTGCTTTCTATTAGGCCTCACCATAGTCTCCAAGCCGGTCTCCACAACACCACTAGCCTCAGTGCCTCTCTCGACAACACCACTATCCTCAGTGACTCTCTCTACAACACCACTAGTCTCAGTGCCTCTCTCCACAACACCACTAGCCTCAGTGCCTCTCTCCACAACACCATTACACTCTGAAAGTGCAGAAAATGAATTATGAAGAGCAACAGACTGTGCATATATTTTCCTTTAGAATGTAAGCTTCCAGGTTGGTCGTGCTACAAATGTTAGGATAAAGTACATAGATGGGGCTCTCTACTCCTTTTAGTGTCAGTATGTCTGATTACATATCTCTCTGTCTGTAAGAATACCTATGATCAATTATTAAAACTTTGTAAAGCTCTCTGTATAAGAATTTATATGGCGCTCTTATATAGCACTCTCTAAATAAGAACTGGAGCTGTGATAACAAATGGGATCCAAACAACGTGAGGTTAAAGCTGTGACTGCACCCAGACAAATCAGTGAAGCTGAAATGTTACTATCCTTTAACCCTTTGACATCCATGCTGCTTCCTTACTCCAGCCAGTGGATGGTAGGATTTAAGGTTATTTTACAGAGGTATGTGTGTGGCTGATGTAGTTAAAGGGTTACTCCAACCAAGAACCAGTGTTTTAGGAAAACAGTTGCTGTACTGGTTCCCCTGGACAGTTCTCTTCTAAGCCTGCCCTTCTTCCACTGACGTCACTTCCTGTCGCTGCCAGGGGAGGGATGTAGATGGATGATGGGCTGTGCAGTGTATGTTGACTTCATATGTCCGATATGAACATAATTCACATTAGCTACCAGGAACTCTTGTTACGGTCTGGTTAATGATATCCCAATGATGCTGCTGGAGGTGGTTAAACGCATAGTGAAATGCTACACATACAGGCACCATGACCACTTCAAATCACTGAAGTGATCATGGTGATTTGAACAATTTTTTAAAGACGAGTTCGTAGAGCAACACTGTTGATGAAATTACCAAAACCCTTAGATGAAAGCACATAATTAAAAAAAAATTGCAAATCCTAGTTAATAGGAATTCATACTACTTAACGCATGACTGCATTTACATTGTTGCTCTAAGAGGGTCAACATGCCAGTTCTTAACTAATAACTCATCTCATAAAACATACACTAATCCATGACACTAGTTGCAGACCTTTCCAGAGTTTACAACTAACTATATACCCCAAAGCGACATATTACACGCTCCATTCATGTCTTGTTAGTATGTTTTAAACAAACAACTAGAAAATAAGGGTGATGATATGTTTTTTCTTGTTTTTGTAAATGTTGGAATGTTTTTACTTAAAGAACAAGTTCCAACGACACACTGATAATGGCAAAATTATTTGACTGGCAGGTAAGACCTTCTTTCATCCTGAGGTCATCATGAAATATAGTGAGGTTTATTCACTAACCTAGGAATTGCAAAGAATTGAGTAGATCATTGCATATTTTAGGCCAATTATCAGAAATAGAATTAAAATTGTAATTCCCTTCTAAAGGCTCTAAAATTTCACTTTTAGTGAAACGTTTTTTGTGACTTGCCTAATAAGTAATAATCTCCCTGCTTTTTCTTCAGTTAAATAAATATTCCAAGCACCATAACCACCAAAGCCCGCTGTAGTGCTATGGTTATGGTACCAGGAGTGTCCTGTAAAATGCAAACCATTTAGTAGGTTTTGACAACTTACCTGAGTCCCACCAAGCACCCCAGCCATATCCTCTGGTTTCCGGATTGCTTTATTATTATTATTGCCATTTATATAGTGCCAACAGATTCCATAGTGCTTTACAATATTATAAAGGGGGGGAGGGGGATTTAACTATAAATAGGACAATTACAAGAAAACTTACAGGAACGATAGGTTACAGTCTATAGAATAGAGAAAGCGAGTCAATGCAGGGCCCCCCTCATTGGCTGAGAACATGAGAACATTCCGTTGATTCTCTCTGCTAACGGTTGCAATCCTGCTTTGCGTTAAGAAGATGTTCCTACTGGAGAAGAACGTATGTAGCAAAAATTGTATTGACCAACTGAGAGATTTTAGTTTCCTCGCCCAATTTCAGTACATATTTTATTATTTTTGAGAACTTTACCGTTTATTCGCTAAATAGAGCAATATACTGAATTGAAAACCAAATTGCAAATATATCTACTCAGGAAAAAGATCTCCAACTGTGTAGTCAGTTTGACTATGGCATACTTGCAAAAACAGAATATTCAAGGATATAATCTTTCAATGTAGGGTAATAACTGCTTGATCCAAGGATAAATCTGACTGCCATTCTGGGGTCAAGAAGGAATTTTTTTCCTAGCTTGTTGCAAAATTGTGCTTCATATTGGGTTTTTTGCCTTCTTTTGGATCAACAGCAAAAAACAAATGTGAGGAAGGCTGAACTTGATGCAAGTCTCTTTTCAGCTATGTAACTATTCACCACAATTCACTGTTTATTGAAGAAACTTTCCTTCTACCCGTCTGAGTGTTGGAGGGAGGAATAATCATTTTTATTGCCCACCCATGTGACACACAAAGGGTTAGAGTGTGCAAAATGTGTCTGTTTATTCCCCACAACTGTGATAACTAACCTTTGACATTCCCCATGTTGTGAAAAGTGTTACTTCTAATGTTTACAACAGCTGGAGTGCTAAAGGTTAACTGTGTCTTGTTCATTAAATGTCAGGCCACATTCAGAGTGTTATTCACCAAAGTGTGAATTTTTGGGAATTCAACATGAACTTAAACTGACTATTAGATTTTAGGCCACAAACCGGGAAACCGCTCACATGGAAAATTTTCTAAATCCGCTACTAAAAATTGAATTTGAATTATTATTCACTGTAGCGAACTATCCTGGCAGTGATGGAAAGTTCTTGTGTTTATAACCAATACCCACTTTTATTTGAAGACTTTGTTAAAACCAGTGACAGGGGTATTTTAAAGATTTAAAAGATTGCTGGGTGGGAATTGTAACAAGGAGCATGCTTGAATCTGTTCCCCTTCTGTGTTGCTGCATGACATTACTGGTCTGCAGGAAATATGGTTCCTTTGTGTTTTGAATCAGAGTTGTAATCCACAATTATTCTCTTTTGTTCTAGCCGCAGGGACGCCAAGTCGACGAAGATTCCATCGAAGCAGCATGAAATGACGCTCCTAAATATAAATAAATGTCTTGCGCCCCTGCTTTACAGGTTTTATTGGTAGCCTATTTATTTTTTCACTGACCAGCATGACGTGTTTAGAGGTTTTAAACCTGGTAAAAGCCACATGATGAAAAAGGATGAAGCAGAATGTTTTCTAGTGACGTCTAAGTCCATTTTTCTTGCATTCCACATTTGTTTTGCAACTTTTAATTAACTGTCCCCCCAACCAAGGAGGACTGATAGTTCACAATCAAACATGTCTCCTTGAGCCAACATCATTATACACAGTAACCTCTTGAAATACAATGGCTCTAGTAACTCTTATTTTTTATAATCATCCTCTTGTATTTCTGATTCATACAACATACATGTATAAAAGGTCTTCTGTATCTCCCAAATTGTATGATATAAAACACTTTGCACCACTGTAATATTTTTAGCTTGAATAATTGAATCATACTATATGAATTATGTCTATATGGCTTTGAACTATAATTGCATTAAATATATTGGACTATAATATCCAATTATTGTGAAGGCAATAGTCATAATATCATGCAACAGTGTCTGTTCATCTGCTAAGTCAAAAACTTTTGGATCACTAATATGATGGCTGAATAAAACTGCACAAACCCATTTTTCTTTCTGTCAGTGTGGAGCCTGTAGCCATCCATGTACAGGAATCCAGCATTCATTGAATCCATGACATCAATGGGAAATGCACAAATGAGCATTTATTAAACCATTTCCTATGTGTTGTGTTTCCATCAATTAACAGTGTGCATTGTTTTGACATTTTGTTTATGTACATATCAACAAGATACTAATAAAAAATGCTATGTAACAAGTACCGCTAATTTTACTGGCTTAAGACACTCCAGACACCAATACAACATTAATGCATTTGATCGGTTTTGACCTCATTAGTACGCTGTATTTTTCATGTTCAACTCAGTCTAGTTTTTGTAGAATGCTACATCATAATCCTGCCCCATTAGTCTTGCCCCCTTCACTTTAAAATAAAAAATAAAAAAAATGTCTTTCTCAAATGCATGTACACAGCTCAGCCACTGACAGCACTGAGTGATCTGAACTACAAAAGCAACATGCGTTTAAAGAAGAAGAGGACACCCAAGGAGATAAATAGTAAGGATATCACTACCTGCTTATAGTTTCTGTGACTGTCAGCAGCCAGGTTGTAAATTAAAAGCCACTTATTCAATGTTATTAGGGACCAAGCAGTGTGAATACATTTAATAAAAGAGTCTTTCTGGCTTAAGCAGGCAAGGCTATGGAGAAATGATTTGGTACAGCATTCTAGGAAATGTATTTTGAGCAAAAACTATAAAGGTTATGTTGCAAAAAATACAACATATTCATGAGTTCAAATCCTATGAAATGCATTAAAGTTGTATAGGTGCGGGAGAGTTTAAATAGTACCATAAACAGATCACTGTGATCCTGTCACTGTTAATAGAACGCAATAAACTTGTTTTCAAAAGATTTTAAACAGGATAAGACAACATGATTGCTCTATCCAGTCCCTCTTGGTCCAGTGCTGTGCTCTATCTGTAGTTAGATCAACCAGTTCATTTTATGCTCTTTAATTTAGTAATGTGGTTTGGATAATTATTTTTGACTTCTGTAGTGGTATTTATTTAAGATTAAACATAAACTAGATTCAAGATCAATACATTTCTCCCTAAACATTATCTTTGCCCCGAACGCCACATATATTTCAGAAGTATATTGAAGAAATAATAATAAAGTAAAATGATACATAATATATTGCACATTATTAATTCTCTTGCCTATGCATTAAACATATAATGTAGCAGATTTAATTTTTAATTTACAGTACTTTTACACTATCCCTCATCAAAAGATATAATTTGGCAAATCAGTTTTTACAGAACTTCAACTCCCATTTAAGAAATGGGAGGGGGGGTGGATTGTAGTCTGACTAATCTCCTCAAGAGAAAAGCAAGACAAAGCATATATTTGGAGATTTCATGTTATATACCGCTATCTATTCAACTCTATTGCCTGGGGACACCGGGTATCTACAAATCCCCAGTCCCCTTTTCCAGCTTAGTCCTACTAGCCGGTTACACAGAGGAATACAACAGATTTTTCACCTGTAGACAGCCTACATCGACAGAAGCCATGTTTCACCCCTCTGTACCAGTTTGGGGTATCTCAGTCCCTACTGGAGACAAGCCTGTTCACAGAGAAACGTGGACAGGCAATAACAATATTTTGTGAATTAGACTATACTTAAAGTGGCTGACATACCTCCTATCCAGCTACCATCTCCACTGCAATCCACTTTGATGAAGGACTTACATCAGGCATTTGATAACCTATGCACCCGTATTTGGACACAGCTGGTTCAGCATTCCCACAACTCATCACCAGACCAGCCAATAGTCCAGATCTTCTCCCTGACATACAGAAAGTAGAAGCTTAGATGTTGCTTACCTAGATTGCTAGCCTTGGATAGAGGGTCACTCCGATACCACTCACATTCCAGAAGGGTTGGCCCTTGTAGACTCTTCAAAGATACAGATTTGCACACCAAGAGTGGACAGCTCCATGGTCATTGTGTGCTGGCTCGTATTGCGGGGAGCACCTCTGCTTGTGAGTGTTTCCGAGTGATTGTAGCGGAATCAGGATAGTACAAAGGAGCAGACTGCTGTCATCAGGAGTTGGGTCAATTGGGGTTCATAGGAGTCTGTGTGGAATGAGTCTACTTACCAATTGGCGTGGTGTCTTTTCGTTAGTATCTTACTCTTACATTTCTTAACTAAAATATCCAGACCAATCCTTATGAAGTTGCAGACTGGTTGCTCCAGTGGTTCCATACGTGTGCATTTAAGCAGTAAAATCTCAAACAATTACTATGTCTAGCAATTGGTTAATCAACTAACATAATTAAAAAAAAAAACAATAAAAACCAATAATCTAACACCAAGAATTATGTGTAATCTGTAAAGTGTACCATTCATACTAAATATGCTGACAAATGCTGGTTACATTTCTGTTTGCACTAAATTAGCATCTCAATAAAAAAGCATTTACAAAAAAAATTTAAGAAATTTTCCCTTTTGTCAGGTTAATTGCTGTCAACTGCTTGCATCTAAACAGGAAAAATACATTGCAATTAGTAATTAAGTAAACAAACTAAAAATAGCATAAACACGTATTATTATTTTCAAAAAAATTGCAATGTTCGTTTTAGTTTTACTCGCTCTAAGTCTCCAAATGTTTGGTCAGTAACTTTCAAAGGGAAAGGCTGGTTAATGGCGTTTTAAAGAAATTTACTGAAAAGACTCGTAATGATAAATATAAACCAGGCATCAAACATTTAATAATAGACCGCATTCTTCACTAAACTTAAAAATTTCACAAACAAATTAGGGAATTTAAAATGGTCTTAATTAATCAGGAAATTGTGGACAATTGTCAGGTAAATTGTACATTTTAAGGCAAAATAGTCAAAATGATAAATTTCACAACACTATTTACCCAAATTGATTATTTTGGCCTAAACTTTGCAATTCCACAGCAATCTTTAAACAATGAGCCAGTTTAGTGAGTAACCCTGCTAAAGTATGCACTGTGCATCCCAGTACTAGTGTAGTTTTTTGTTGTTGTTTTTTTTAAGTAGTATTATTTCAGGTCTTTCAAGCTGTCTGAGATCAATACATGTAAAATGTGGCCTACACCCACTTGTAAGGGGAAAAACATTCCAATTGTTTTCATCTCAGATAAAAGGGTCACTTTGGGCACTACAATCACTTACTCGGAATGAAACGGTTATGGTGCGAGGAGTTCCCCAGGAAATACATTACGTCAAGGGGTTAAATCATTAACAAAATGTTTAACTTCAACGGGTTGAGTTAGGTGCGTGATTGCTCTGCCCATGAACATCCGCCATTGTTTTTAACACTATAGGGTCAGGAATACATGTTTGTGATCCTGACCCTATAGTGTTCCTTTAAGTAAAACTAAAGAGTTTGGAATATGGAGAAAAATACAGCATGGATATAAGGCTAAAGCATATAAAATGCACTAAAGTTGTGTTGATGTCCACAGTTTGCCTGCAGTGTCCTTTCTGGTGAATAACCTCCTAGGTGGCTGGTTGTTTCCCCCTACTCGGTATTAGCTATGACTATGCAATAAATAATAGATACTACAGGAATACATTGAAGATACATGTGAAACCTTCTTAGTCATTAAGTAAGCAAACTAAAAATGGTCACAATAGGTAATGGTTGATAAAGCTTAATACTTCTGCTGAGCATATTATTTAATAAGAAACATGTAGAGATAAGTATGTACCTATGTATGTGGGTCCACCCTGAAGAGTCTCTCTAAATTCAGTGTTTGAGCGGGAGTTTGCAGTCATGACAATCATGTATGAGTGCAAAATCCAAAAAATTGTATTCTCAACATTTAAAAATTTTTGAGCTCCACAATATATTTCATTATGATTTGGTGATTGCTGAGGATATTTAATGAAAATAGGTAATTATATGCCTATGTATGTGTGCCTACCATGAAGAGCCTCTCTTTAAATTCAGTGTTTCAGTGTGTAAGAGTTTGTACTTATGGTCCCAGACACCCCTGTATGAATATAGTCCAAAGGTAGGCAACCTTTTATCAGCACTGTGCCAAAACAAGACCTGGAAATCCCTTGGTGTGCTCATCCTACCTTTTTTATTTTTATTGTTTTATTATAATGTGTGTATGTTTCTATATTCTGCTTGTGTTGTGTAATTGTGCTGCTGCTTTGTAGCTTTGTGGTTGTGCATACATAAGCTGTGTTATATAGATGTGTATGTGGGTGAGCAATTTGTAGTATTGTGTCTGGTACATAAATATTCGAGCTGTTTGTCAGATTGTGTATTTGGATGATACATGTGGGTACGTGGGCTGTCCGTTGTGTTGTGTTTGTTCGGACACCCCTATAAGGCAAGTTCCAGGAGAGATTCTCCGATATCCCCGGGCTATTTAAATCTTTTGTAGCCGTGCAAATGCACCTTGAGTGGCACACATGCCATAGATTGACCCCTAATATAGACAAAAAAAATTGTAAGTATACACAAGTTAAACATAATGAACTCCGCACACACTGTATAATTCACTGTGATTTCGTGATTACACCAGGTCACAGAAAATAACTTGAATTTAATATTGGAGTCATCTGTTTCTTCTGACAAAGAGTTTCTGTTCCATTGTTCTCTTTGGTAGTTAGGAAATCCTGTGATAGCATACTGTGATATTGTCCACCTGTAAGGATTTCACAGATTTAACATTCTTTGAACATAGTTATGAAATTAAAGGCAATGTTCAAATATTTATGCGGCCTACAGACAAGCCCCAGATTACTTATTGCTGCAAAAATTGAAAATACACAATGCAACCTATTTAAATACATTAGTAAGGTTCTAGCTGTGTCTGACCACCGTCACTAAGTACCATGCCCACTGCTTATTTGTGTGTTTTCTCCATGTATCTGTTATGTATTTAGTCTATTTTGCCTGTTCCCTGTTCGGGAGAGTTCATACAAACAGAACCTGTTCGTTTCCTGAACGGGGACCATCCTGAGTTCCCATTTAGAACGCTCATTAGAATGTTCTAAAACTGCAACAGAAATCATTAACGAATGCTCCCCTGGGTGGCCGCTGGTTTGTATAGCCGAACGCCAACCAGTGGAGGCATTCGTATCCCGAACGGGCCTGCCTGCACTGTCTCAGATTCCTGTGTTGGGGTGTTGCCCTACCTGCTCCTAACAGAGCTATAATCACTTCTTCCCCTACCCGGGAGTTGCAAGGCCAGGCTCGTAGCTGCCCGAGGGCACTGTACCCAGGTTTGCCTAAGTGCAGGTAGCCTCGGAGAGAGGTGCAAGCCCCAGCGGAATCCCTGGGGCTGTGAGTCAGCTTCACAGCCGCAGAGGTCCTGCAAGTCGCCTGGAGAAGGAACACCCATTCAAAGGAACACCAAGAGGAGAAGGAACACCCATTCAAATTGGGTTCGCACCATTCTCCTGATGGGTTGGCACGAGGGAGCCCAGACTTTGTACAATGGTTTTTCGTGCTCTGTATATCCGATAGCCCCGCTATTTGCAGTGCGCCCAGATGGGACCCGGGGCTATCTAGTGATGTATGTTTTATATGTGTGACCCCTTTCCTTCTCGGGTCACAGAGCTCCTACGTTTTCCCCCCTGTATGTGAAATGTTTTAATGTGTGAAACTGTGTGTGCTGTTGGTATCGCCCAGGCCAAGTGTATTAAACTGAATAGAGACCCCCTGTGGTGGTCTGTGCATAAAAGATTGTCAGAGTAGTACCTCCAGAACTAGGTTTTGTCCAGTTACTGGGAGGGGGGGGAAGGGTTAATCCCTGGGTCAGCTTGTTGCAGCTGGTGGAAGATGCAGTGGGGACAGTCCTTGTAAGGACTGAGAGCTAGTTCCCCTATCGGTTCCCCTATTCCAGCTAGGAAGCGGTCCCTGTAACGGAGGTAACCAGTTGAGTTGCCAGAGGGGTTATTTACACTAACTTTTAGATATTGTTAACTAACAAATGATTTTTACAAAATGCTTATTGATATAGCAAAGCAATTTGAAATTACTGCCGCTCCCTGGATCAATGATATATTCAGCCCAATAGACCAAACCAAAAATAGTTTTATGTGCACTATACCAAACCTTAGGCTACACTTCAGGTAATGTAGAAGAATTTTCCTAATGGTCTGTCATTTGAAGTCATGACAGTAAAAGCACCTAAACCAATCCCCTGAATATCGCCTTTAAAAGTCTTTGTTTGTGTGTGAAAAATGCAAAAAACAAACTTGAACGCTACTTTTGGCCAGTGTTTGTGACTAAGTGGCTACTAAAAAAAGACTGGACATACCCCGTTTGCAATACCTTGGGTTGTCTACTTTTGCAAACGGTATGCCATTATGGGGGTAATTCTCATTCCTGAGCTACGGTCTCAAAGGCAACATTACCAATCTGGCAAATTTCAATGTGAAAAAAGGATATGCTAGCCTTATATTTGAAACTGTAACTTTTGAAAACACCATAAAACCTGTACATGGGGGTTCGGTTTTATTCGCGAGACTCCATGGAACACAAATGTTAGTGTTTCAAAATAGTAAAACGTATCACAACAATTATATCGTCAGTTAAAGTGCCGTTTGTGTGTGAAAAATGCAAATAACTGCACTTTCACTGACGATATCATCATGGTGATATGTTTTACTGTTTTGAAACACTAATATTTGTGTCCAGCGAAGTCTCCCAAGTACAACAGTACCCCCCATGTACAGGTTTTATGGTGTCCTGGAAAGTTACAGGGTTAAATATAGGGCTTGCGAACCAAATTTTCTGCCTGGGTTGTCAGGCAGGTCCCTCAAATTGCAATTAATGAAATGACTTAAAGGACCACTCGAGGCACCCAGCTTAAGTGGTCTGGGTGCCTGGTCCAGCTAGGGTTAACCCATTTTTTTATAAACATAACAGTTTCAGAGAAACTGCTATGTTTATAAATGGGTTAATCCAGCCTCTAAAGCCTCTAGTGGCTGTCTCATTGACAGCCGCTAGAGGCATTTGCGTGCTTCTCACAGTGAAAATCACAGTGAGAAGACGTCAGCGTCCATAGGAAAGCATTATGAATGCTTTCCTATGAGACTGGCTGAATGCGCGCGCAGCTCTTGCCGCGCGTGCGCATTCAGCCGAATGGGAAGATCGGAGGCGGAGAGGAGGAGCAGAGCTCCCCGCCCGGCGCAGGAAATAAGGTAAGTTTTACCCCTTTCCTCTCCCCAGAGCCGGGCAGGAGGGGGTCCCTGAGGGTGGGGGCACCCTCAGGGCACTATAGTGCCAGGAAAACAAGTATGTTTTCCTGGCATTATAGTGGCCCTTTAAACACCTCACTATCAGCACTCGTTTTAGGGGTGTTTTTCTACAAGATCAGCATGCACATCTAATTATTGCCTCTGATTTGCTATCACCGACTAACTATTTTTCA